GAATGGTTCTATATTGATCGCGACTTTACTTCCTCAATTTACCGTTGTTCACACGCTGACTACTGCGCGTGAACCATCGCCAATTATTTCCTTGGCTTGGCATGCATCCTCGTCGAAACAGAAGTCGGACATGCTGGCAACGCAGTCGTCAAATGGCGATCTACGAGTTTGGAGTGTGGCAAAACCACCGGGGAAAGAGGCACCTCGAGTGATTAGGATTTTGAAACGATCTGACTCAAACTCTTCTGATCCCAAATGGATGGGCTGGTCAAAGAACGGAAGACTTGTGCAATATTTGGAAGGGTACGCAAGGCCCTAAGGGAATAATTGAGAATTTACTGACATGTGATTATAGGGAAACATGGTCTTGGGATGTTCGAACAAAACATGTTACCTACGATCCAATTCCCACAATCGATGGTGTGCGAGGCATCGCAAACTACGGTCCTACTGCGACTCTATTCACCATCGGCCCCCAGCACTCCGTCCAGCAGTATGATTTGGAAAATCCGGCAATGGTTGCAAATGTGCAACATCTTCCAGTCATCCCCCGGCCTGGCACAGCTGAAGGCAGTCGATCACAAACAATGTCTCCACGGCGCTTGCAAGATGCTCCTGATATCCGAGAGCCACCAGGTGCAGCTAGGCGAACGCCATTTGATGCAAACAGCATTGAGAGCCTCAGACAGAGGGCTGATCTGACGAGCCCTGCTTCATCTCGCAGCCGGACGGAATCGGTGAGCTCAAAGGCGTCCTCTGGGAAGTATAATGTGAGGCCTTTCTCTCCGCCCAGTCGTTCTGGTCAGAGCGCTACAACGTTTTCCATGACATCGACTGATCGTGATACACCACAACCTTCTGCTTCATTCGCATATCCCTCCTCAGTCTCAATGTCCTCGGTAAGAAGCTCGAGGGCGGCATCACGATTGCGGAATGAGGTTCATCTCAGCCCTGCTGACAAGAACATTGTGGATCTATTCCCGTTCACTCGGGCCCGCTTGATTGACGTGCCTTATAAACAGCAGCCGCCTATCGACGAGACGAATCTCACTTCAGATGATCTTCGGCTCCAAATGTTGAGCGTGGTGTTTGGCTGGGATGGAGACGTCCAAGATCTGATAATAGACGAGTGTATGTATTGCCCCGTATCTTCCATCTTGGAAATATCTTTTGACAGTCCTTAGTGAGCCGCCACGCCGTGGGTAGTCAGAGTGCTATTCTCTTGACCCAGTGGCTTGGCAAGAACGACACAGATGAAATGGCCGCGATGATTAGCTCTGGGCAGGTAACATCGTCCGACTGGATGATTCTTGCCTTGAGTCAAATGAGCGGCCAAGCGCAGGCAAACAAGGTCGGACAGGCATTTGTACAGAAGCTGCTTGAGATCGGGGACATACACACCTCGGCGGCGATCTTGCTTGGTCTAGGGGACAGCAACGACGCCATTGAGGTTTACGTTTCTCGCAATCACTTTATGGAAGCTATTCTCATGACATGTCTCCTGTTCCCATCGGACTGGCAGCGCCAGTCATATCTCGTTCGCCGATGGGGAGAACATGTCGTTACTCACTCCCAGCAACAACTCGCCATTCGCTGTTTCATGTGTACGGGAGTGGAACCATCAGAGCCGTGGGCATCTCCATCTGCCCAACAAACTTCATCTTTTGCAGAGATGATTTGCGGCAAGCCTTCTGTCACCTCGCCCGAACCTTCGCAGGCCAATATGGTGCCACCACCCGTCCGGCCAAGATCTACATCTAACTCCAAACCTTCACTGAAAACACCAGCCCTGAAGCTAATTACATCATTTGACGCGCAACCAGGACGTTTCCGCTTCCCTGGCTTAAAGTCTGACGATCGCACGCCAACAAATGCACCCGGAATCACTCCAATTGCTGAATCTGCTGTTCCCGAGTCGGCAATGTCTCCTGGTGGATTTGGCTCTTATAGACTGAACAATATCCAAAGCCTGAATCACGCAATGACTTCTCGATCAAACACTCCTGCTGCCAATCGACGTCGTCTACCATCGATAGGAGAGACACCAGTGGATGTGCACCCGCCAAGCTTCTCACGGTCAAACTCTTACAGCCAGAATGAGTATAGCTCTACCTCCGAAAACGAAATGAGTGGACACGAGCAGAGCAAGGACAACAACAGTGGTCTTCTCACTTTGTCAGCCACGAAATACAACCCCGGTCTAGACTCTATCAAGCCCAGTCCTCAGACTGCTGTGCAGGGAACAGAGAAGTTTGCCGCAATCAAGGGGCTTCCATCGCCAGCTGCTGGTGTATTCGAGGCTCTTACAAGTGAAGACCACCGTAACGGGTCCCGAGATCGAAAACCAGATGGCCTTCAAATCGAGACATTGGAAGGTGAAATAAACCCGCAGGACCGCTCCGATTTGATTCCCAGCGCCAAAAGCACCGCTTCAACATTGAATAGCTACGCTTCGGCCAGGAGCCCAAGTGTTAGTGGCCGTAGTATTGATCAATACATCAGTAGCCTTGATGAAGCGAACTATCATGCCAGGAAGTTGCGCCCACATACTCCGGGCCGTGGAAGGCGTAACCCAGACGACACTGCCAGCCAGAGCTCAAGAGTCAATCAACCACGTGAGGGCTCTCGAGATACCCGCGGTAAGAGTGAGCGTCGGTACATTCAACCCGCCAAGCGCTCTCCTTCCTCGCCGGTGCCCATGTCTCCGGAAGAGTTGGCTCGATACCACACTGAAGAGTCTGAAAAGCGAGCTGAAACAAAGTCGAAGTCTCGCGCCAGAAGTTCTAGCAAGGTGAGAGGGCCAGGTTCTCGGAACCGTCAGCGCTCGTCAAGTCGGCACACTGCTAGCCGGCTGGGTACAGACAAACGAGGCCGCAGCAATGACCGACAAGGATCCGGCGTTCGATCGCCATCGTCGCCTCTTCCTATGGCATATCCCACAGAGGAATCTTCTCGGGATGTCGATAATCCTTTGAGACTTGTTGAGGATAACCAAAAGAGACTGCGATCTCGCCACCGAAGTGCTAGTCGACGTCGCGCCGATAAAGGAACAGCTTCCAAAAGAGATGGCTCTCCAGAGGCCAGACATAAAACATCGCAAAGTCTTTCTGTGATCCAAACAGGTTCTACTACATCAGATCCCTGGGCGCAGCAGGCATCTGTGCCGGAGCAGTTGAGCAGCAAGGTTTTTGGCCAACAAGACACATCCAATGGGTCTTCTAATAGGAAACCAAGCTCGACAGCCAATGATTTCCAAGACATTGCGTCCCCAAGGACACCATTCGTCACCCTCGCAGAGAAAAAGCGAAGAGAGATTGCCGCTGCTGAATTGGAAGCACGAAGATTATCACTCGCCCGCAACCCGTCAGCACCAAATATCCCCTTCCCGGGCGAGCTGCAAAGCGCAAAAAGTCCCCTTGAGGGCTCCCCTCCATTCTCTGGTACAGGTTCATACTTCCAACGGGCTCCATCGCAGAACAAGGCTTCCCAGAACAAAGCATCTCTTGACTATCCCAGCAGTTCTGACTCGAACTCTTCACGCTCTGGAATGCCCGGCGGGCTTCCGGCAACTCCTCGAGCCATGCGGCATCCAAAGTACGGAGGAAGCGGACAACACGAAGACCGACCTCCTTCTGTGCCCCTTATTCCTACAGACAACAGTTTCTTCCTCAGCAATGCCCGGTATCAAGGAGATGTCGAAAGAATCGGAAGATCGATGTCCGTCCCCGTGCCAGAAGGACAGTACAACGCCCCTTCAACGCCGAACGACCTCCCCACGCATCCCCGATTTAACCCAGCTCTCCCCCGAAGCCGGTCCAGCAGCCGCAGCCGCGCAAAGGGCCATAACCGCACCAGCTCAGGCAGCTATATCTCCAGCACCTCCCCCCACGTCCAAGTGAGCATCGAAGAGACAATCGAGCATGCAATGCAGAGAGGACCTTCAGCACAATATGAGACAATTCCCCCTCCGCCACCCCCTCCCATTCTCCCGGAACTGCAGCATCTCAACACCCCACCTCCACCACCCCCATTCCGACTCTCTGCAACGCCCATCTCGCCCCGCGAGTCCTCCGCGACAATCGACATCGCCATCGACAACAACCAAGACCTCGGCCGTCTTCTCCCTCGCGCCATGACCGCCGCCCCAGCTCTCAATGTAGGCAGCCAAGGGGCGGACTCCCATCAGCCGGGTAGTCCGCGTACGTCCTTTGACCATCGCCGAAACCGTAGCTCAAACGAGAGCTTCACGAACAAGCTGCGTAGCTTGACTCGTATGCGCAACAGCAGTCGCAGTGTCGAGCCTTACATGCAGGCGCATGAGGCGGAGATGGAGAGTCTGAATGCTGGGCCGAACTCGAACTATGTTCTGTCGAGTCAGAGCTATGTCGCGCCGGGCCCGAACTATGTTTAGGCTGTTAGGGCTTGGCTGGCTGACGAGAAGAAGTGTTCTGTTTGCTTTATATATCTTTTGCTGGTCTTTGTTATTATTTTTCTCTCCTCTCTTTTGCATCATGAGCCCCCTTTTTTGATTGTTTTTTTTATCATGAAATTGCAATGTCCTGGATTTCAACGTATCACGCATGTTTTTCAATGTCATTGGCTTCGGTTTGACATTATCCCTGTTTAAGGGCTCATACCCTCTCTCGTCCTGCTTGATTGATATTTTCCGAGTTATATGACCCAATTTATATTCCAAATACCATATCCTGTCATCAACCCCAACCCGAGAGTTGATTGAATGCACAATTCCCTAGTCACTGATTTCAGACTTTCCGTTTCAAGATTGCAGACAGCGATGTCTTTAAAGATCTTGTTTCCATTGGTTTATGCTCTCTTGGTCGGGGTCTCCCTAGCTAAACGTATATGCCTGCAAAGGCTTAATGATAACGGTATCAATTGTTTCTAGATGATTTGATATAGAAGTAGCTGTTCAGAGGCTAAAAATTACACACTTGTACATGCAAAGATAGACAGAAAAAAGGCCCGAGGCATCCTCAAGATCACCAACCGCGGTTTCGAGATGATCCATCATTGCCAATGTTTCTTTCCGCATCAATCATGCGATCAAACTCTGCCTGTGCTTGATCCCTCTCAGTCTTCTGAGTGGAGTCATACTTTTCTTGGTCACTCTGGCCAAACCCAGCAGAGAGAGGGTTCGGTGAAGGCTGTGACACGGGCTGCTGTCGAGGCTGGGGTCGTGCTCCGGCATTCTGTCGTCTGATCCGGTCCCAGGCACTGCCAGTACTCGGTGACCCATCAATGTTTGTATTCCGGTATTCTGCAGCGGTAGGGCTAGCATCGTCCTCCTCCAGGATATCCAAAGCCGATTTTGATTCGGGTTGAGTGCCTCTGCCGCGTGCCCAGATTGCACCACCATTTGAACCCGATTGAGACTCGGACGAAGGGGATTGAGAGCTCGCCTGGGTATCATTGGTGTTTATGTATTCAGAGTAAGAATTCGCCTGCGCGGGAGCATCGTAAGACGCCTGCTCCGGTTCGTACACATCGTCGCCTGCATATCCACCAGGCATGCTGATGGCCTGTCGCACCTGGGAGCCAATGTCTTTCTCGCCACTGCGGACGCTGCGGACACGCTCGCTAGCGGCCTGGATCTTACGCTTGCGCACGTCCTCGGGTTTCGCCCTGCGTACGTCCTCGACGAACCGCTTCAATCGCGGATCCGTCAACATTCGCATGGCATCTTGGGAAACCGCGTAAGCGCTCGATGCCATGCTTCCAAGACTAACAATAAAGACCAGTTTGAATACCGCTGTGCTGATGTTGCCTCTTAAGGCATTATCGGCCCACATGTTACGCACCGTATTCAATAGTGAAGCTGGGGTGGGATTGCTCGGAAACAGTGGTGACTTGCGTGCTTGGTTGAGGAGGTATGCTGTTCCGATGAATGAGCTTACGGGTATACCCCTCCGCGACTGGTACAGGCATCGCGTTGAGTGCTCAACCATTGCATCGAATTCGTCTTGGGTCGGGGATCGTGCTGTCAGCACATAGTGGTTCTCCACTCGCTCGTTCACTGTGTTTGAGACCTTTCGCGTCCAGGCTGCTGTGCCGAAAAATCCAAAGTACAATGTGAAAAGATCAGGCCTCACAATTGTCTCTGGCCGGAGTTTGACCTTGCTATATTTCGCGATCGCGGGGTTGTGGCCAGGGAGGGATCGGGAGGAGTCGTTCGGAGAAGTGTTGCTATAATTCTGGCCTGCCTGCGGCGAGGCGTTATCGGAGCTCATGGTGAGTATCCGAGTGTTGAGGAGGGTTGAGGTGAGAGGTGACAGCTTCGAAGGTTGGCTGGGCCGTTTACTGTGACGTTACGCGCTGACTCAGCATTTGCATAAAATCTACATAACTATCCAGCCGGCCTTACCGCTGGAAAGCTGTATACAATTTCAAGTAAATCCTCAATTTGAATCCCAGTCATTTGATAAAAAGGCAATATCAGTAAATACACATGTGCTGATGTCGCATTCTTACTATACTTGTTATAAATTCTGCTCTTCTGGGTTTACTGGTCGGGTTCACTGCCTTATAAGACCCCAGAAAGCCTCCGCGAAACCTCCTACCACTTCTCAATGTAAGGTCGTAGGTCCAACTCAAATGCAAATGTCGTGCGTGGCTGAGTATGCAAATACCAATATGAGTCCGCAATCTATAACTAGTGAGTTTCTGAAATAAAGCAACCAATGAAGTCAAACTTACAGCGTCGGGGCTTATTTTCGCGTCTTCATGCTCAAATACCCAGGCCTTGGTACGAGGGATATCAATGATACCGTCAATAATAGTATGAGAGACATGTATACCCTGCGGCCCAAACTCACGAGCAAGTGACTGCGCCAACGCACGCAGTGCAAACTTGCTCGAAGCAAAAGCAGCAAACTTAGCCGATCCCTTAAGACTGGCAGTAGCTCCGGTGAAGATCAGCGTGGGCGGATACTCTGACGATTCGCGAGCTTGCAGGAGCAGCGGAAGAGCCCGCTGGGCAAAGTTAAAGGCGCCCAGTCTGACATCGGAATCACAGTGTCAGCATGGTCCCTGGAAATAATTTGGACTATATTAAGCTTGGAATGAAGCAGATAGAGTGAGCATAAGAGAAAGCAAATACGTACGCCTGTGACCTGAGTGCAGTCGTGTAATCTTCTTCTTTTAGCTCAAGGAATGGCTTGACCACGAAGCCGCCACCTGGATTGAAAACAGCAGCAGCTACCTTTGAGGAAGGGTACTGCGCTTGAATCTTGTCAAATGCGGCATTGACACTCTTCGAGTCGGAGACATCGGTACTGATGCCGATGGCCTGGCCGCCGCTGGAATTGATTTCTTGAACGACTGGGTCGTAGTTGTCTGGGTTTCGAGCCAGAACTACAACAGAGTAAGACTTTGCAAATTTCCTGGCGATTGAGGCGCCCTGTTCTTTCATCAGCCAATCCTGCCTTATATAGACAGAGTAGATGTAGACCGTACCGTGCCAGGGCCAACGCCGGCAATGATCGCGAGTGCTTTGGAAGCCATATTTGATTGAGTAAGTATATGGATATGGATAGGAATGTTTTGCAAGTCTGGGTGAAATGAGGGAATCTAAACAACTAAATAATGGTCGTCAGCCCAGAACCTTAGATATCACCGCTTAGAAATGCAGCGGGGATTAATCATCACATCCGCAGATGATATCATCTGCAGAGAATGGGACTGGTGTATCCCCGCAAAGATAACATCCAAGGGGAAATTAGGCCATTGGCCGATGAATAATCCTGAATATGAGCTAATTTCGAGGCCTAGCTAGACAGCCTCTTGGGGAGACTAAGATTGTTGGCGAAATGATTCCAAGGTTGGTATAGTTCGAGATGTCGGCCTCAGGCGCTTATCGATAAGACAAATAAATTTCCCATCGAATCTCCGACTCTCCAACTCTCAACTCCGCAGACAACTAAGATGGCGGATTCAGATCCCTTACTGAGTGATCTCTGCTTAATATGGTATGCTTATGGGCAGTTAAATCCCGGTACACCTTGCATCTAACCTGTGTCCGTACAGCCATACCAATCCTCCCAAATACCGCTGTCCACGTTGCTCTACACGCACCTGCTCTCTACCCTGCACACGTCGCCACAAACTCTGGTCGCAATGTTCTGGTGTGCGCGATCCAGCCGCCTACTTAAAGCGCCAAGAATTAAACACTCCATCTGCGTTCGATCGCGATTTTAATTTCATCACGAGTATCGAGCGCACCCTCGAGCGCGCAGAGAGAGAAGTTGATAACCGCGGGATTGATCTTGCGGGTGGTGCCCAGGCCGACGATGATAATTCGGAAGGTTCCCAATATCCGGCTACTGGCCGTAAAAGGAAGCACCCGAACCAGGGCCTTGCCAAAGGTGAGGCTGCGTTCTTGCGCGGTGCCGAAACTGCTGGTGTGAAAGTTCTTCGAGCTCCAAAGGGAATGTCGAGGAATAAGCAGAATGGGTCGCGTTTGCATCCCAAGTGAGTTGGGAATCTCTCATATCTTTTGATTCGGAATTTGTACTGACGTATGTGTTTCTCAAGGCACAAGCGTCTTGCTTGGACCATAGAGTGGATTACGTCTGATGGGGTGAAGACTATTCGTGATTCTGTCATCGATACATGCTCTGTTGCTGAAGCCTATAACCGTTGTTGCCCACGTCCGAAGGATCAAGAGCCAGCTACCAAGCCAGTGAAGGAAGAGAAGAAAGATTTGGACACCCATAATACAACTATCGCTGCACCCGGTGATCCTGTCACGACAGTGATTGAAGAGGCAGATACAAAACAACCATCATCCCCAAACAAAGACTCAACAAAGGAACCAGCTGATGACTCAACTGAGCAAACGGATAAAGTACCAAATCAGACCATCACCCCCCACCGCGGTCTCTACTTCTACCTTCACCGTCCGCGAACCACAACCAAAAAGCCTGTCTTAGCTCCTCTCTTGCAATCCTCGACACTCAATGCTGTTCTGCGCAATCGGACAGTTCTAGAATTCCCTACGATTTATGCACTGCTAGAGTCAGCAGAGACACTGTTTTCAGACAAAGATAACTCTAAATTCATATCCGAAGAAGAGTATCTTCGCACTGCTGGACCAGATGAGATAGGCCAGTCTTCTACCGCGAGTGACGATGACGGTGCGGCTGGAAACAAAGTGCTCGCCAGTTCTTCGGTGAATCTTCAAGATGTCGATGAGAACCTGGTACTGGAGGTATTGAAGAAAGATCTATTTGAACCAGTCTCGGAAACTGAGCCAGTATGAGTTATTCCGGCATGAAGAGAGATATCAGAAGACGTTAGCCAATTTGGCACATCTACCAGACAATGTACGATACATAGGGACAGCTAATTATCAGTCAATTGTACAGCGGGTCACCTCTCAGAAAAATTATCAGGCTTAGATGCAGACGTATTTTCCTGAAACCACAGATTCTGCTGATCGTGACATCTCGACCAAAAGAGGAAACCACGATCAGCGCGGCTTCCTGTCGAGTCAAAGATTCTTCGAGTTCACCTTCACTTCACCCGGGACCACCTTGGGAATATCAAATGCTCCAGGACTGTCATTGTCATCATGAAAACTAACGTTTTGTCCTTCGGGATCGCCGTGATTTATCTCGGCACGGTAGCATCAGCCTTATTAGTTGCCAGACCACCGCCGCAGTTACCAGCCAAGAAACGTCCACACGGATGCGATTGCTACACAATATCCGGGCCTGATCCGGGATATTTCCAGCACTACAAGGTCTGGGACTTTCGGGCAGTGGATTTGAAGAAACACGCCAATCTCAATCTGTCGGAGCCCATTGATTATGACGACGAGGACTGGGATGATGACGCTGAGGCCGAGGGCCAAGAACCGCAAAATGGCCATCTCTCGCCCGGAGTCCACAATGAGAAAGACCCGGACCCCAGATCACTGTTGTTCTACAAAACCTCATTCGAGAGAGACTGGAGCAGTCAAAACTGGGAACGTCGAGGCACCCCCATAGCCCCAGTCCTCATGATAAATTCAAAGCACAACGTCTTCCTCACCGGGGACTCGGACCAGAATAATCCTCACGCGACGTATCTTGTCCTGCGTACCACTCGTTTTTCAGAATACACCTCCACCGCGGAAATCGAGACTCGCATACGCAATATCTACCGGTGCTCGCTGCGTGTCCGGCTGCGATTATTGCCAGCCGGCTCCGTCGTATCGCAACCTCCTCAGCATAAAGAATGGCCACCGCGGGATCCACAACGGCATCCCACCGTGCCCTTGAACAAGACGATTCCGCTCTGTGATGGCAGACCACCTGATGGCGCTTGTGCTGGCATCTTCACCTACCATGATTCAACCTGTGAATCTGACATTGAGATTTTGACGCGAGACCCGTCACATCGCGTGCATTATGCTAATCAGCCCGATTATGATTTTGCCGCTGATCACGAGATTCCCAATGCGAGTACCATTGCCGATATACCTGTCCCATGGACAACGTGGTCCACGCATCGCCTAGACTGGCTCTCGGACATGTCACGGTGGTATGTCAACAATCAGATACAGGATGCCAAATCGTACAGAGTTCCTGAGTTAGAGAGCATGATTGTACTCAATCTTTGGAGTGACGGCGGACTCTGGACGGGCGACATGAGAATTGGCGACAGTATATACATGGGCATTGAATACATCGAGCTGGTTTACAACCGTTCTTCTGATGCTTTCAGGGCCCCTTATGTGTCTCCTTCGCAAAACCATGGCGGCCATCAAAGGGCCCCTCCCACGAATGGTTCTTTTGGCAATGGGAATCCATTGGAGCCAGATAGAAAGGACGAAAAGTGCAAGCCAGGTAGGCAGGGCCGCGAGTGCAGAAGAAAGAAGTGGAGAAACAGGCCCCTTCATGAATCCTGTCGAAGACCATGCAACATTGATCAACTCTAGGGCTTCTCAGGCAGAATTTTTGTATTATTATCAGTTTTATTCAATATTTTTGTTTTAGATTCCTAGTTTCGACTGGCTTGCGTGTTCTGTCCTCTAGTTCTAGACAAGATGAATGTTTTCTCAGAGAAAATAGATGTCAACCTAATATGCTCCAGGGCTCCAGAGCTCAACATTACTATTTGGATACTCATTGCTTGTGTTTAGTCCTGATGTCGGATTGAAGAGCAGAACACTAACACAATAGAAATACATAGACTTTACAATAAGAAAGCAGATGCTATTCAGGATAAAAAAAACCTCCCAAAGGAAAATAGAAGAACCAGGAAAACAAAGGAATACGACCAAACCAGTTCACGAGGAAGGGACTGCTTTGTATCAACTGAGTCACCAATGGTGGTGACCGTGGGGTATCATTCATTGCAAACATCACATAGAAAGAGCGCGCCAAAAGAAAATTCATTGTCCTTTTCTCATCTTCCCCGTGTTGTTCGCCTTGCGCGCCCGAATATCAAATAATGTGTAATGATGACCGAAAACGCCTTGATGAGGATGCTTGATATGGATAGATGTAGATGGGGGATGGATGAGGTATGTGAGATTATGTAGGAGGGTTTGAAAACTTCAATGCATGAGATCGACGAAAGTGCGATGCTTCTGTAGCCATAGACAAACTGGTCTTTTGTGTTCATTTAGAGCAACACTGCACCTGTTGCTTTGTCTCGTGGGTTAAACTCGCCGTGAAGACCACCGTTCATGAGTTCAGCAACAATCTTTCTGCGAAGAAGTGTGATGTGGCCTGGGCCAATGGCAGTCGGCTCAACCCCAACAGTAATTGCTTTGGCGTTGGTTAGGAGGAAGACACCACAGTCGCTTCCGTTATCTTGCTGAGAAGAGACCGACGGTAGGACAGTCCACTCCTCGTCTTTGTATTTTGGCCCAAGCTCCCCACGAAGCCATTGCTTGACATTTTTTACCTGCCGTTGACCGCGGGATCCCAGAGAGTCGAAATACTCTATTGTACGGTCTGCTGGTCGAATAACCATGAGAGTCCAATGACTTGACTCATGTACAGGGATGAAGACTGTGTCGACATTAAGCAGTCCTTGGCCACCGATCTTGGCCCGAGTTGCCCATCGTTTCACGCCCTCATACCCCTTATCACGAAGGGTGGAGTAGAAAAATGTGTTGAAAGTGTGAAAGAGCGGCCGATCGCTGGGTCCGAGGTTCCCATGCGATTGGCGGAGATAATGTACGAGTAAACCAAGGTAGGCATTGATGATTTCGTCATTGAGCCAGGCCTCAGGTCGAATGCAAGTGATGATATCCCGCTGGTACAAATTACCTCCTGCTAATGATGTGGCGACGGCTTGTCCTTGTCCACTCTGCACGGCGCATTGAAGTTTGGTAAGCCACTCGGGCGAGATCAGACGTACGGGTTGACCCTGGGGTATCACTCTGATCGGACGTTGGAGATCGCGCTCCCGCTCTAATCTTTCTTTCTCCCGCCTCTCGAATTCCGCCTCGTACCAAGATGCAATGCGATTGGCAGGAATCGGCCTCCTGTTGGCGTAAAACAACTGTACAGCGGAAACAGGGCCATGCGGAACCCTTGCATCTTGTCGAGCTTGTTGATCCCACGGGTCATCAATGTCCATGAGATCATCTTGGACGGGCTTGGGGGCTTCAGTTGGTCTCGGCGATGGAATGCGCCTAGCGCTCGGAGGAGGAGGGATATATGGCGGTAATCTAGGGTGGAGATGTATGCCGAGATCCGTAACAAGTGCTGGTGCTGCGCGAGCATCTATGTCCATAAATTCCCATCCCTTCGGTGGGATATATTCCTCCTCGATAGTCGCGCCTTGTGATACAACAAGTGTAGGTGATTCGGGAGGAGTTAACGGGAAGGCTCCTGGGATGGGCAAATGAGAGTTATCCAAGGCTAGGCTATAGTTTAGTATATGCGACTTTCATTTCCAAGTAGAGGCCACCATACCATCGGGGGCGTTAATTGAAGGCTTTAGGGCCTCGAAGGGATTGGGAATCTTGAGAGAGGGCTCCGTGTGCTCCGTGAGCTCCGTGGGCTTTGCAGGGGAGACGCGTCGCTTGCATCGAGGCCAGCGGAAGAAACCCATGTTGCTGCGAACTCTGAAGTCACCTCGAACGACGGGAGTAAGAAAGATCTACTCGTCCGGTGACGCGCTTTCGAGTAGGTTGGCAGTTGAACGAACGTTGAGGGCGTGAAAAGGGAGGAATGAGCGGGTAGATGAAGACGAGGCTTCAAGATCCATCATTGGGCATGACTGGAATATCTATCCCAAACCCAAAATCGAAGGCAAATACTCCGCAAAGGAAGAGGTATGGGAACAATATGAGCCGACGCGATGCACCGGGTTCTTTCATCATTCTGCTGACTCAGCGCATATTCCGCGGCCCAGCCTCCATTGTTGCGTTGATCACTTCACTACTCTTTGATAGCTGTTTATAGAGTCTGCCACAAGAATTATTAGATGAAACATCAAAGCAACATGAGACTAGGGAGAAGAGGGAACGATATCTAGCAGAAGTTGAAGGATAACATTCAAAGAAACTCCTACAAAAATGATATACAAACAAAGAGAGACAATATGTACGGAGCACTACTCCGTACACAACTCTTCACTTGAACGCCCTTTGTTCTTTGCCTCTAAAGATCTTATATGTCGTGGTTCATGTGGCTAGTCTCATACCTGTGTTTGAGCAGGATGTTTGACTAGACCGAATAACAACTATGAATATTGCTTTCAATGCGTATGTACATGGATAACGTAAAGGATACTTAAGGTGACCTGTTCCAGCACAGCCTGCTGAGCTAGGAGCAGGCCGAGGAGTTAGTGGAGGTAAGGGAAGAGGGACTGCAAGGCGAATTGCACTTTTATCAATACATTTCTCAACCTCGTTATCGGGTTCCAAGTCCGATTAGGTCGAATAACAGGGGTGCGACTTCAATGACCACCCATGGAATACCTAATGAGGACTGATATCAGCAAAGGTTGTGTCAAAATACAGGGGTTTCACATACCCGCATATACAACTAGTTTTGTCACTACCTCCACATCGTACCGCACGCGGGGCTTCTTGATCTGGGAGAAGACTTCTTGTTCATCCCGCTCCCCAGCCTGGATGTCTAGCGAGGGGAAAGGTGTTGTCGGAATGTCAAAATTCACATTAGCTGCCGATGACCTAGGGCTACCTCTTCCCATCATGTCTTCATAATCGTCCAGTGATGCCGTCTTTCTTGGCCGCACGGGTGTTCCATTGAGCTTGTTTTGATCCTCTGCGACCGGAGAAGGATGATTGCTCCCAGATTGACTCTGGCGTCGGCGTTTCTCTCGGTACGCCAGGGTCTCATACGCATCAGCTTCTGACTGAGGACCAATTGAAATGGCTCGGCGGCGGGGATGGCGCATCGTGGTAAGGATGTCTGGGATGTCAGAAAAGTTCGGAAAAACATCATGATCCTTTAGGTTATAGGGAACGGTGGTGTATTTCCTAGGGATAGGTCAGCATAATGTCCACTGGCGGGAAGTACAGTCGAATTCGAACTTACGATGCAGTAGTGAAGAAACGTCGAGGGAGCAAAAGCCCGAGCTTCTCCAGAGTCCGGAAGATAGGTGGCAGAATGCGCAGCAGAGCGGGCTTTGTTGCAATTCTCCAAGCAAACACGCACAAAACGCCCATGAAAAGACGAATGACAGTCTTAATCCAACCCACTGTCGCCAGATCGTAGGGAATTGATCCAGACGGATAACCCACCCAGATATCGGCGAAGTGCCATGAAGACACATCCACGCCCAGCATGACGCCTGCAAATGCAACACTATCGTCGAAGCACGGGCAATCATCTGCCGGCTCCGGGTGGATGCGGACGAGAAATATGATGAGAAGTCCCAGCAATGAAATTTCCTTCGGCGAGGCGGACAAAATGAATTCCTCAAAGGCAGGTCCGTAATGAAACTGTATGAGCCCGATGGCGGCACCCATAGCACAACCAACAACACAGTCGAGCATCCCATGCATTCCGCAATACAGTCGACCCAATACAATGGACACGACATAGATGTAGGTGACGGCTTGGAGTAAGAGGGTGACCTGCGTGCCGAGAGTTGAATCGGGTGAACCAAGCAGGGCTAAAGCATAAACCGCAACCGAAACAGCGTTGGTGGAATGTGTCGATGGGAAACCATATTCCAGGGCTGCAGAACCGGACATGGTGATTCGCTGGAGTGGCGGGGACAGAGGGCGAGGAAGACAGAGTAGGTCTTTGAGGAAGCCGCTCCAAAAGACGCCTGATGCTAAGATGTGTACTAATCTGTAGACGATCATTATCAGCCACAGACTCCCACTTGCGCTTCCAATTTCAGAAAGAAAACGTACCCGCGACCCATACTGGGAGAGCCACACCAGAATAGGAAGGGTAAGAAGACCATGAAGAACGTGTGGGTACCGAGGTTGGCCGTGAATGCGAAATACGAGTCGAGAGTGGGCGTGCGGACTTTCTCCTGTACCCAAGCCAAATATGGCGTCTCATACCGGATCAATGGGATGAGCTTTTGTCGCGGCCAATACCGCCAGAGGGGCAATCGGTTCGAATCTATGTGGCAGACGTGCGAGGGTTAGGACATCGCGATAGGCCACAGGTGGATAGAGATGGAACCAATCACATACAGTGATTCAGACTCTTCAGCCCAGCATCGGGCTGGTCTTTCTTGCTCGTGCCCATGATGCAGTGTTATCGATTCAGACAATGTCGCAATCGAATGGATTCCATGGAATGGACAGGCCGCTGCCTGCCAGTCCGTTTAAAAGGTTGAGGGGTATAGGGATCAGAACATAAGGAGCGAATTGAAGTTGGATCGAAGAAAATGATATAATCGAGAAACTCGAGGTTGAATCCTCCAAAGTGGACGGGGAGATCATCCGCGGCTCAAACCCCTGATGCCCATGTGTGCTTAGTCATTTTG